CTACATGATGTGACGGCCCGTTCCATGACACATTCTGTCCTTAGTGTTTACAGAATGAATATTGTTTTTTCATGGAACTCCGTTTAACTCACATCTGTCTGCATGCATTACAGTGTGAGATGTTGGTATCAGTCACAAGTTGTGATTGTTATTTTGGTTCTATTGTCACTAATCAGTTCATGACTATTGTTACCAATCAGTTCATTTGATTAATAATCAGCTCTCCTGTTATTATTAATCTGTTCATATTGTTCAGCCGTAACCGGTTGGTTCATGGCTCTTTTCAACATATTTTCCCTCCCCGCTGAATTTTTTTCCGGGGCATTCATGCATTCAGAACGCATAGTTACACAACATGCGTCTGTGCATGGTACACATAATTACGCAATGCGTAATTACGCACATGGGGAGCTGAGTGACAAGACGTTTTTTGGGCAAACTTCTGCTTCATACGGTGTTCGAATGGCCCCAGTGAGGCGAGGACCACATCTGCTTCGCCCTTAACCCATCAGCGACAGCCTTAAAGGGCGAAGCTCATATGAAATAGAATGTTGGTTACGTACTGTAACCCCAGATTCTATGAGTATAAGCGTAGCCCTTTAAGCGTCGGGCCTCACTGGCTCCTAAATGGCTGAAGAAAAAGCTATTTTGGGAGCCGATTACCCGCTCTTAACGTAATTTATACGGATCGATGGGGCCCACACAGCAGGTGGGCGTGGACTAAATTTTTTCAGTGCAATGCTACGCATATCGGGATAAACCCATCAGCGACAGCCTTAAAGGGCTACACCTATATTCATAGAATCTGGGGTTACAGTACGTAACCAACGTTTTAACATAAATCAAACAAGCATTGACCTTTGGCTATCTTTGCTGATGTAAAAGCTTCTTCTTCTTCTTCTTTCGGCTTTTCTCTCTTCAGGGGTTGCCACAGTGAGTCCTCTTCCTCCATCTCACTCTGTCCTCTGCACACTTTGTCCTCACTCCAACTACCTTCATGTCCTCTCTAACTGCATCCATATACAGTATCTCCTCTTTGTCTTTTTCTACTTTCTCCTTTTTAAGCTGCATTTGTAACATTCTTCTACCAATATACCCACTGTCCCTCCTATAGACATGTCCAAACTACTGTCCCTCTTGTGGACATGTCCAAACCACTGTTCCTCCTCTGGACATGTCCAAACCACTGTTCCTCCTCTGGACATGTCCAAACCACTGTCCCTCCTCTGGACATGTCCAAACCATCTCAGTGTGTCCTCTCTAACTTTATCTCCCAGTTGTTCAACCTGTGCTGTACCTCTGATGATCTCATTCCTGATCTTCTCCATCCTTGTCTCTCCTAAGGAGAACCTCAACATCTTCATTTCTGACACTTCCAGTTCTGTCTCCTGTCTTTTTGTCCATGTCTCTGTCTCCAGACCATACAACATAGCTGGTCTCACCTTTGCTGACACCCTTTTTGTCACAAATCACTCCTGAAACTTTTCTCCATCATTCCATCCTGCCTGGACTCTCTTCTTCACCTCTTTACCACACTCCCTATTTCCTGGACAGTGGACCCCAAGTCCTTGAAGTCCTGCACCTTTGTGACCTCTGCTCCTTGTAGCCTCACTGTTCCACCTCCTCCCTCTCATTCACACATGGACTCTGTCTTGCTACGGCTGACTTTCATTCCTCTTCTTTCAAGTGCATACCTCCACCTCTCAAGTTCTCTTCCACCTGTTCCCTGTTCTCACCACAGATCACATCATCTGCAAACATCATAGTCCACAGGGAATCCTGCTTGACCTCATCTGTTAATCGGTCCATCACCAGAGCAAACAAGAAGGGGCTCAGAGCTGATCCTTGATGCACTCCCACCTCCAACTTGAATCTATCTGTCACTCCTACAGCACATCTCACCACTGTCCTGCTGTCCTCATACATGTCCTGCTGTCCTCATATATGTCCTGCTGTCCTCATGCATGTCCTGCTGTCCTCATGCATGTCCTGCTGTCCTCATACATGTCCTGCTGTCCTCATACATGTCCTGCTGTCCTCATATGTGTCCTGCTGTCCTCATACATGTCCTGCTGTCCTCATATGTGTCCTGCTGTCCTCATACATGTCCTGCTGTCCTCATATATGTCCTGCTCTCCTCATACATGTCCTGCTCTCCTCGTACATGTCCTGCTGTCCTCATGCATGTCCTGCTGTCCTCAAACATGTCCTGCTGTCCTCATACATGTCCTGCTGTCCTCATGTGTCCTGCTGTCCACATACATGTCCTGTACTAGTCTAACATACTTCTCTGCCACTCCAGATTTCCTCATGCAAAACCACCTCCTCTATTGGCACTCTGTCATATGTTTTTTCTAAATCCACAAAGACACAATGGAGTTTCTACAAGTTAAATCTGGTCCGCTGGACATTCAAAAAAAAAGAAGCAAAAAATTGTAGAAACGTTTCGGCTTTCATCCAAAAGACTTCCTCAGTCTGAGGTGCTGTATTCAGCTCAGTCTTATAAAAAGCACCTCCTCAGAGTGGATCAACCAGTTTGCTGCTGACAACCAAAACCAGCTGCTCACATGATCAAGAAGGACCATCAGATGTCCTTCTCACCCTCTTCAGTGTCCAGTCTCCCATACAACTCATCATACACCTTCTGCTTTGTCTTAGCTACCTCCCTCTTTGCTCTACGGTCCATCTCCTTTTATTCCTGTCTCCTCTCTTCAGTCCTCTCTCTGTCATATTTCTTCTTGGCTAACCTCTTTCTTTGAACAGCTTCCTGCACTTCACTATTCCACCACCAGGTTTCCTGATCATCCATTCTCTGTCCAGATGACACACCAAGTACCTTCCTACCTGTCTCTCTAATTACTGTTGCTGTAGTAGTCCAGTCATCTGGAAGCTCTTTCTTACCACCCAGAGCCTTTAACAGCTCCTCTCTGAATTTCTCACAACATTCTTCCTTCTTCATCTTCCACCATTTGGTCTTCTTCTCTGATTTGACTCTTTTTCTCTTCTTCACAACAACAGTCATTCTACACACAACTATCCGATGCTGTCTGGCCACGCTCTCCCCTGCCACAACCTTACAGTCTCCAATCTCCCTCAGGTTTCAGAATCAGAATCAGAATAAACTTTATTGGAATTGCACCGAGGTACAACGCGAATATGTACGTACAGTCGTCCGAAAGATGGGCGGAGTGCACGAAGCTGCAACTGTAAAAGCGCGGCCATTTTATCCTTATCAGATAATAATCTTAGATAGGAAAAGGGGTAGAAACATGAGGGTAGACGGTGGTATTACAAAAAAAGATCTTTCACATCTTGTCTATCAGGACACGATTTGAGACATCAAAAAACTCTACCAGCAGCGCAATTAAAACATGATTACATTTGCATTTGACATCGAGGTGTTGAGATTTGTCCATGAGCGTTTTTTCAGATCAGCCACAGTTTCTGAAGATGTTGTTCCAGAGGACAGTTCTGATAAGCTTGCACAGAAAGTTCTCGGGGGTGGGGGGTTGAGTTTCTGTCCTTGGGTACTCATGTCCCAGGAGAAATTGATAGTCGGCCTGTCTCCAAGGCCGTCGGGAGTCTGATTTAGATAAACTTGATTCTTGTTTTTCTTCAGGCAGAGATTACTTTTGTCTTCAGCCTTGAGTCCATCTGGGCGTTCTGGTTCCGAAAAAGCCTAATTGTGGGATTCCATTCCACTGATCCATGCTATGAGTCTCCTTCAAGGTCAAACCCACCACGCTGACGAGTCCCAGAAGCCGCAGGTGACCTGCGATTCTCAATCGCTTTCACCTTACGGTTAAGCTCGTAAACCAGACGATTTAAAGTTCCCACAGCAAGGACCAGACCTTCATACTGACTCGGAAGCTTTTCCATGGCCGAAACTGCTGCCGCCGTCTTCTTCAAAAGTAGATAAAACAGAGCCCTGCCGATGCCAAAAAGCAGAGTCCCTGCTATCATAATTCCAAATATGTAAACGTCTTCAACATCCTCTTGAGACAGGACTGAGAGACACATCATCTGCCACACTCCCCACGAATCCATGAAGTACCCCACAGCGTGAGTCTCAGCTGGACATGCCGGTTCTCCAGGACCTTGTTGCTTTGATGAAAAAATCTTATCAATAGAGTTGAACGCCCACAATACCAAATCCATAATCTTCTTAATTTATGTTCGGGAGATGAGACCCAGGCGCTTCAGACACACAGAGAGCAGAGCAGGAAGAAGGAAAAATGGGGGAGGAAAAACAGAAGCTGCCACCTTGATGAGAGCCTGGGAGGAAAAAAATAAATAAAAATTTTTAAAAAACACAGAATGTAGTCGACCTGCGTACTCCTTCCTCCACTCTTATAGGTCACTCTATGTTCCTCCCTCTTTTGGAAATAGGTGTTGACTACAGCCATTTCCATTCTCTTGGTGAAATCCACCACCATCTGTCCTTCCTGGTTTCTTTCCTTCACACCAAACCTACCCATCACTTCCTAATCACCTCTGTTTCCTTCACCAACATGTCCATTCAGGTCTGCTCCCATCACCACTCTCTCCTCCCTGGGAATACTCTCTATCACTTCATCCACATCTTTAAAAAATGTATCTTTCTCCTCCACACCACATTCAACCTGTGGAGCATAACCACTGACAACATTTAGCATCAGACCTTCTACTTCTACCTTCAGACACATCACCCTATCTGACACTCTTTTCACCTCTACTACATTCTTTGTCAACTCCTCCTTCAGGACCACCACTACTCCATTTCTCTTTCTATCCACACCATGGTAAAACAGTTTGAACCCTGCTCCAATGCTGCGAGCCTTGCTGCCCTTCCACTTGGTCTCTTGGACACATAAAACATCTACCTTCCTTCTCAGCATCATGTCAGCCAGCTCTCTACCTTTGCTGATGTAAAAGCAAAGGCAGTAAAATCTTTAAGATCATTTTAGTTGTGGTGTAATTCAGAAGTTAAAGTAGCTGTGAAATTGTATATCTTTGCTTACATCTTTGGCTTCAAGTAGATCCTTGCATCGCTCATTGCGGTTGAAATGAGGCACCACATCTGGATTGACACAGGTGTGCTCTCTGCTGGACAAGATAGTCATTTTAACGCCAGTGTAAGCTGTGCGTTTTAATTCATGTGCAATTTGAGTTATTTGTTTATGTGTGCGTGTTCCAAAAAAAATCTTTGGAATCCTCTTCCTGCCATCGTTGTCTTTGTCCTTCACATTGTCTTTGGCTGATGCACACGGACAATAGGTGCAGGGTTCAGAGACCTGTACAGAAAAAGAGACAAATGCTCAAAGTCAAAATCAAATAGTTTATTTCAACATCTCATAACCTGAAAGAATAGTTAGAATTGTTACTTGATGAGGCTTACTGTTGTACGACCAGATGTGTTGTGAAGGAGTAAGACACAAAGGTAAACTTAGTGAGTAATGCAACAAAGCTAAAACTATTTTAAAGTTTCTTCATGCATGCTCAATAATCCAGGAAGAAAAATCTAACAAAGTTAAATCAGGTCCTCTGGACAGATTCTTCTTGTTGAAACGTTTCATCTTACATCCAAAAGACTTCTTCAGTCTGAGGAGCCAAAACAAACTCAGTCTTATAAATAGCATCTTCTCATAGTGGATCAACCAGCTTGATGGTGCTCAGGTGGTTCCTGTAGTCCACCCTCTCCCCTGCCGCCTGCTCAAACTCTTGAACAAGAATGAGTCAATCATGGCCAAAGTGGTTCAAAATATCTTGATTCATGCTGAATAATCCAGGTAGAACAATCTAACAAAGTTAAGACATGTCCAGAGGACTTGAGTAAGGTCCTGAGGATAATCAGGTCTGTCTGTCTTTATTGTACTGTTGTGTATCTGCACCCTTGTGTTGTATTGTGTTGCACTTTATTTTCTGTGTTGCTCCATGGTCCTGGAGGAACGCTGGGTTGTTTCAGTATGTACAATAACTGACAGGCTACAGAACGCACTGAAATGTAAGCTGCGCACACTAAATTTAAGATAAAACAACATTTTGTACAAGACAGGCTAAGATGGCCTCCGGGGCCCATCTTCTCCTCGACAACTCATCTGAGACAGTCATGCCAAAGTGGTTCCAAACACCAAAGCTCATGCTCAATAATCAGAGGAGCTGACAGGGAAATATTATTGGGCCCCTTTACTTTCAGAGCAGCAAACTCACTCCAGAAGTTCAGTGAGGATCTATGAATGATCCAGTGTTGTCCCAAATGACTGATGATGATCAATAGATCCACCTGTGTGTAATCAAGTCACCGTATAAAAGCACCTGCTCTGTGATCGTCTCAGGGTTCTGTTCAAAGTGCAGAGAGCATCATGAAGACCAAGGAACACACCAGGCAGGTCCGAGATACTGTTGTGGAGAAGTTTAAAGCTGGATTTGGATACAAAAAGATTTCCCAAGCTTTAAACATCCCAAGGAGCACTGTGCAAGCAATCATATTGAAATGGAAGAAGTATCAGACCACTGCAAATCTACCAAGACCCGGCCGTCCCTCTAAACTTTCATCTGGAACAAGGAGAAGACTGATCAGAGATGCAGCCAAGAGGCCCATGATCACCCTGGATGAACTGCAGAGATCTACAGCTGAGGTGGGAGAGTCTGTCCATAGGACAACAATCAGTCGTACACTGCACAAATCTGGCCTTTATGGAAGAGTGGCAAGAAGAAAGCCATTTCTCAAAGATCTCCATAAAAAGTGTTGTTTAAAGTTTGTCACAAGCACCTGGGAGACACCAAACATGTGGAAGAAGGTGCTCTGGTCACATGAAACCAAAATCCAACTGTTTGGACACAATGCAAAACGATATGTTTGGAGTAAAAGCAACACGGCTCATCACCCTGAACACACCATCCCCACTGTCAAACATGGTAGTGGCAGCATCATGGTTTGTGCCTGCTTTTCATCAGCAGGGACAGGGAAGATGGTCAGAATTGATGGGAAGATGGATGGGGCCACATACAGGACCATTCTGGAAGAAAACCAGTTTGAGTCTGCAAGAGACCTGAGACTGGGACGGAGATTTATCTTCAACAAGACAATGATCCAAAACATAAAGACACATCTACAATGGAATGGTTCACAAATAAACATATCCAGGTGTTGGAATGGCCAAGCCAAAGTCCAGACCTGAATCCAATCGAGAATCTGTGGAAAGAGCTGAAGACTGCTGTTCACAAACGCTCTCCATCCAACCTCACTGAGCTCCAGCTGTTCTGCAGGAAGAATGGGCAGAACTTCAGTGTCTCCATGTTCAAAACTGATGGAGACAAACCCCAAGAGACTTGCAGCTGGAACTGCAGCAAGAGGCGGAGCTACAAAGTATTAACGCAAGGGGGACGAATAATAGTGCACGCCCCACTTTCAGTTTTTATTTGTTAAAAAAGTTTGACACATCCATTAAATTTCATTCCACTTCACGATTGTGTCCCACTTGTTGTTGATTCTTCACAAAAAATTAAAATTTTATATCTTTATGTTTGAAGCCTGAAATGTGGCAAAAGGTTGAAAAGTTCAAGGGGGCTGGATACTTACACAAGGCACAGTATATATACACACACACACACACATATATATATATGTATGTGTGTGTGTGTGTGTGTGTGTGTGTGTGTGTGTGTGTGTGTGTGTATAAATATAGGGGCAGCACGGTGGTGCAACAGGTAGAGCTGCTGCCTCTCAGCGAGCAGGTCCCTGGTTCAAATCCCGGTCCAGGGGCCTTTCTGGGTGGAGTCAGCATGTTCTTTCTGTGCATGTGTGGGTTTTCTCCGGGTACTCCAGTTTCCTCCCACAGACCAAAAACATGCATGTTAGACTGACTGGTAACTCTAAATTGTCTCTAAGTGTGAGAGAGAGAGAATGGTTGTTTGTCTCGTTGACTCTATGTGTCCTTGTGATAGAATGGAGACCTGTCCAGGGTGTCCCCCGCCCCTCGCACAGTGATTGCCGGACATGGGTACAGTGACCCCAGTAACCAAAAATGGAAGAAGTGGGTAAAAAGATAATGTATATATATATATATATATA